GCTTTTTTAACATGAACTATAACAAGAAAAACAAATCTGAGTAAATTATCGACTTTTAGAGTGTAGCATTCTGTCTGCCGGTGAGGTAAGTAAAACTATTCAGTTTTACAAAAGTGTTTTGTTACACTTGAGAAATATAAGGGAGGAGAGCATTTCCGCTCCTAAACTGGCTCTATGGGGCCTCATAATGAGCCCTCCAGCACTGAACACTCTTTCAACTGGTGCTGAAGAAGCAGGTACAGAAAGCACTTTGACAGCTAGGGCATGCAAATGACGGTATTTGTCCTTGTTTTTTAACCAAAATACAAGGGCATCCTGCTCTGCCGGACAGCTCTGAATATCCTCCAGGTATGTATTTACCTCACTGTTGACACTTGGATGATATCCATGGGTGGAATTGTTCTTTTTGTGAGTTTTATATTTTGCCAGGAGCCGTGGAATCTTGGCGTTTGGGGGAGAATCCTGGGTTGGTTCTGTGGGTTCCTCACAGATGTCCAGGTCCACTTTCTTAGCCTGAGTGATCAAGCTGTCTGGAAAAAAAGAAAACAGAAATAAATATAACTCACTTCTTCCACTTCAATATCCTTGCAAATACACTGCACTTTAAAGGGGGGCATTTGAAATAAATACCTGTTAGTGACTTCTGCAGTTCCTTCTTAGTATTTTGTATGGTGGTAGCACTGCCACTGGTTCTGACATCCATCTCAACCCAGTTCATCCCGAACTGGGGGTCCAGCATCGCTCCCAGCATGTATATATCATGGCCAAATGGCAAATCAAGGCCATGATCTTCTGCCATTCGTAATCCAACAAAGATGCCGGCAAATCTTCTTTTAAGTGAGGCTTTGAGGGCCCTGGTCAGTGGCCTACAGAGTCTCTTTTCACTATCCATTTCTGTTAAATGAGAATGTAGCTCGAGGACAGTAGGGACAACCATGCTGATGGTAACAATTTTGTCACCCTCGGTCAATTCAGTGGCCTCAGCAAACGGTCCAAGAATTTGTGTAAGTTCTCTACACTGGGCCCATTCACGTGAGCTGAGGACAACATTCTCAAAGTCAACTGAGCACATCTGAGTTAGTGCAGTATGATCTAATTCGATGACTGCTTGTATTTGTCTGAATTGCGAATTCCACCTTGTGACATTTGAGACTGGAATGCTTTTACCACTTCCAAAAACAGCCTCAAATCGATCCTTAAATACAGTGCTACTGTGCAGCAGACTGGCAAGTTTGGCCATTTTTGAGATTGCCCGAGACATCACTTTTACTTCTTTCATCCCATCCCCGATAACCAGTTGAAGACTGTGGGCAAAGCAGGATAGCCGTTGACGGGAACCAAGAAGAAAGTCCGTATCTAACTGTTCCCCAACCATGTCCTCCTCATCCTCACTGTCATCTGAGTGGTCTGCCATAATGACTTTAAAAGCCTTCTTCATGTTAGCTGCATTATCAGTGATGATAAAATCTACCTTATCACTGATATTGTAGTCATCTAGTATTTCATCAAATGCAGCTGAAATGTTTTCAGAGCTGTGACGCCCTTTGAATCTCCTGCAGTCCAGCAGGTAGGCATTCAGAGTGTACCCACTGGTCGAAGAGTTGAGAACATGAGCTGTGACTCCCAGGTAAGATCTCATTGTGCGGTCTGACCATATATCAGCAGTTACAGAGATTGATTTCTGATCTACCAGACTGGACTTGATGCACTCTTTCACTCTCATCACTAGTTGAGGTATCTGTTTGCTGGTTATCGTTGTTCTGGAGATTGGGGTGTACCTTTCATCCATGGTGTGTAAAAAATGTCTGAAATGTTCATTTTCCACGATTGATATAGGTAGACAGCAGCCAATGATAAGGTCATGGATGATCGCTTGGTTGATAGCCTGCTGCCTTGATGAAGAAGCATTGTAAACTTGAACTTGCAATGGTCGCTGCTGAAATGCATCATCAATCATTGGCTGTGAATCCCCCTGTTGAAGTCCTTGCCAATACTCCTGCAGACTGGAGATGGAAATACAAAAGCATCTATAAGTGTTGGAACTGAATAACAGGCAGATAATAAGCTTTATTTAAAGAGAAGTGAAATCTGTATTCCCAATCATTCATTAATGTCCACTCCATATACTGAGAAAAACTAAATAAAGTTGTGTCTGGATTGTCAAACTATTAGCCTAATAAATGGCTTTCTTTGTTTATTAAATGTTCTATGAAACTGAAATGGCATTCAAAGCTGTGTACAGACACTGACATGAAGGGAAAGCCCTTTTTGTGTTTAAGTCTGTCTCTCAAACAAGTACAGTATACTTTTTTTCTGACTGGACATATTCAAAAATGTCTGTTATGTTACAGAAGAGAAATACTGCTGACACAGAAAATATGCCTGACATAAGTTGTAAATTACCATGTAATTGCTATATGCAGCTTTCAAATGGCAACACAAATATAGCCTATACTTCATTTTTTTGGGGGTCGGGTTGAATATGCTAGTTAAACGTGAATCTTAGTTTGCGCTAGTTAACATTAACATTTTTTTACCTCATGAAACCAGTAATACCAGACGTAAATCATTATAAATTTATGACCAAGAACATTACCTTTATCTTCTGCTATGTTAGCTAATGTTAACATTA